AATGGTAAGAAATGTGTTGGGTTACATTTATAGTTAGATGTGTAAGTTGCCTCACCAGTTGGAGCCAGTTTCTCAAAACAACTGCACATCTATTCTAGAACTTAATTTCTCTCACCTTTTATGGCCTAACCACATTAGTGATGCAATGTATGACCGAGATATTTGCTGCATGAAAAAACTATTGTTTAATTCTTGTTTTTGTAAATATGTAGTTGAAGTGCTTTCTCTTAAATGTGTTGTACAAGTTTTTATTCACCTATATACAAACAGTAGGAGGAAACAAATATTTGTACACATACAAATTTTTAATTTATTATTTATATTAATGTATTTCCAACTAATGAATAAACATACTTTTCATATAATTAACTGTACACAGATGCATAATAACTAAATATGCATAGAAAACTGAAAAAAGTTTGATTTAATAGAAATAAATCCAATTTATCCATTTTAATGTGTGAAAAAAATATTCATACAATACAAAGAAGAATACATAATCTTCATTTAATACCATATAGAATAGCCACTATTCACTTCTACAGCAACCGACCTCTTGTACTTCTCAATTAATGATCTGTAAATTTTAGTTGAATTTTGTTCCATTCTTTTCATATGATCTTCAGATCTGGGATGTTTGTTAAAGCTCTCGATTGGATTTGAATTTTCAAATAACACCACAGATTCTTGATTGGGCTTAAATCTGGGGACTGACTTGGTCATTTCAGGATATTTGCATTATTTTCAGCAAGCCATTTCTTTGTAGATTTTGCTTAGGATCATTATCATGTTGGAAGATCCAATGAGGAGGTAGTTCAAGATTTTCAACCAAAATCATTAAATTTGCTTCCAAAATATTTTGAAATGCTGTGGCATTCATTCTACCATCTATTACCTTTTGCAGAAAAACATCCCCAAACCATGATGTTGCCACCACCAAATTCACTATTTAAACTGTGCTTTGTTTGAAGGCATCACCATCTTTCCTCCATACATGATTTCTAGAATTATGTCCAAACAATTTAATTTTGGTTTCCTCTGTCCATAATATTCTTTCCTAATATGATTTTTCTTTATCCTTATACAGTGTAACCCGGATATAAGAGAGTTGTCGGGACCAGAGAAGAAGTCTCTTATATCAGGGTTTTTCTTATATCTGGGTTTGGTCTATTTTATATACATTAACACAGGCTCTAATTTGGGACCAGAGAAAATCTCTCTTATATCCGGGTCACACTGTATTCACAAATTAATTTCAACCTGGCATTTCTGTGTCTTTTCAATAGCAGTGGGGTTTTCCAAGGGCAGCATGACTTTAGATTGTTCCTATGAATTTCATTGCTTATTGTCCATTTAGTGACACAGATTCCCGATGAAAACAAATCATCCTGCAACTCTTGATGAGTAACCATTGGATTTTGTTTAATGCATTAATTTCCTTGGAGATCTTGAAGAAATTTTCTGTGGAGCACCTGTTCTTTGGTTTTCAAAATTTTTGAGTTTTTTATGCCTTGCAATTAAGGAACTAATAGTAGTAAATGGAATATTTGGGTTGTAACTTTTACATTCTTTCAAGAGCTTAACAATCAGTTCTTTTTGTGAATTTGTCAGTTCTTTACCTCTTGCCACGATGAAAAGCTTCTTGCACAAATATCAGTGAAAGAATGCTGTTTTGTATTTTTTAGGCTAAAAATAATGACTGATAACATTATAGAATATTCCACTTGAATAATCTAGAGTATTAAAGCAATTTAAAAGTTTTAAAATCTGAATACAATAAATTAAAAATTTGTATGTGTATGAATATTTGTTACTCCCCACTGTAAATGTCACTATATCAAGAGTATAATATGCTCTATTAGGATAGTAAGATCTCCACAAGCCAATAGTAATATTACTGACATTTACACTATATTACCTTTTAGTAATAATCTTATAGAAATAAAGGCTAAACAAATTTGTCAAAATTTACAACATACAATTTAATATGGTTTAATGTATCTGAAAATTACTTTAAAAAAAAAAAATTGTCAAAACAACAAAAAATAGTCTATAGTATTGAGTCATTTTACAATAAACATTAGCAGTTGGACATCTTTGTATAGAGACTGAAAAAAACAACTTTGCCCACTCAGCAAGGTTCAGGACTACTGCTATACACCTATTTCTCAAAACCCATTTCCAAATTGCAAACTTTCATTCACATTTTTTTAATATACAAATATAGAAAATATATCTGAAAAACTAAAAATGAAATGCTCGATTTTATTTATATTGTTAACTTAATGAAAACACTTTCTTGGAAAAATTCTGCTTATTTTGAACATATATTCCTGCAATAAGATCACATTAGTTACACACATTCCACCAATACGATCATCTATAAGACCTGTAGATGCATTAACTTCCTCTGTCCCAACGGACGTTCGTCCTACCTGAATATTGTTGCCAACATCATTACCAGGTGATCCATCCGAGATCTCCCTCCACATTAGTCAATTCCGACGGCTCCTTCTCTGGGGAATCATCTTTGTGAGTGTATGGGCCACTAGTCATTCCCTCTCTGCCAACCTTCGCATCTACAATCGAAATGCTATAATTCGTCATTTTGTTTCATATCAACATATGGCACTCCATTAATGGAATGTCAAACTCATTGTCTGAGTTCTCACACCGATGTTGACACTTGCACACTGGGAAGTCTGCCTGTTCCTCTCCAGATTCACTATCAGAATTGCTGGAGTCTACTGTAGCCGCCCATATGATTTTCTGTAACGACCTCTCAGTGGTAGGAATTTTCCATTCTTCAATGGATGCCGCCTGAAAGTGCTTGGCATGCGTCTTAGTGACTAAGCTGGTCAATTGATCTTTAATTCTATAAGAACCAGGGCCAGTCTTTTTGACCACAACATAATATGGTCGTCAGCATATGTCCAATTTCCCTCTCTTTTCTCATTTTTATAGTACACCAACCCAACTCTACGTCCCTAGTCTTACCAAGAGACAGCCATCTCCTTTTTCTTTGCTTTCCTTATATTACTCCTAACTAAAGTGAAAGTGCAATGTATTTCTTGCAGTGCAGTTTCATGATATTCATCACCATAATATATGCAATGAGGCATCTAATGGCAGAATAACATCCCTGTTATAGAGTAGGTAATATGATAAAAAATTTGTGGACTCACTCACATGAAACCTGAAGGCTGCCAACATCTAGTTGATGTAAACGTCCCATGACTGTTCATTGTTATCATTTTTTTTTTTTGGCTAGAACATCATTCTATGGAATCTCTCAACCTTGCCATTAGTCTGGGAGTGGTAAAATGAAGTGGTCACATGATTCACATTTAGGTCCTCCAATGTCTTTTTCATGATTTTGTTGATATTTTCCAGCCCATTGTCGGTTAAAAGAATTTCAGGTCAAAGGTCTTCCTCAGCTGATATCTAACAATAAGACAGCTGATATGTATTAAAGAATCAAAGAAATAAGAGGACAAAAGACATGCCAATCAACAAGATGCATAAAACCAAAAGAAGAAGTGTTCATAATAGGGAAAGAAAAATACTTTAAAGATGGAACAAATATGTTGAAAAATTATCACAATGAAAAAGGGAAATCTACAATACACAAAATATGAAACCACCTGAAATATTTAAGTCTGAGACAAAATTGCCACTGGCCAAGATAAAACAGCAAGACTAAATGGGATTGTCATGGAGCCTTAGACAATATTGGCATTAATTAAATTATGGAAATAATAAATGAAATGTGCAATAGTGGCAACATACCAGAAGATCCATCTTTTATAGGGCTGCCTAAAAAACATGCAAATTCCATTGCACAGTCAATTTATTGAATCATGTAACTAAGCTTATTATCTGAATTCTGAGGAATAGAACACAGCAGAATTAGACCAGAAATAAGGCCAAAAATAGTGGTTTCATTAAAGACACTCTAACAAGAAATGCAATATTTATTATCAGAGAGAGCAATACAAATGCAGAATGGCATATACTTATGTTTCATAGACTATACAAAAGCATTTGATAAGAAACATTCAAGAGAGGTATTTGGATTTCTATTAATTTGGGAAAAATATTAGAATAATTCAGAATATATACTAGGGGCAAAAAATGAATTAAGTATGTAAAATAAAAAGGGTTGTAAGAAAAAGATGCATCTTTTTCACTGGATTTATTTAAACTTTACAGAAAGGCAATCCTAAGTGACCTAGAAGTCCTACCAATATTTATGTTTAATGGATACAATTTTAAACATGATTGGCAACAAGGAAGTTTTAAGTAAAATGAAAAGGACACATACTTACAATCAGGAAGAGAAAATTGAAATCTTTGGGACACTTAATGAAGAAGGAGGGCTTGAAGAATTTGGCACTCATAAGACATTGAAACAAGAAAGGCAGTGGGAAACAGCAAGTAACTTGCCTAACTAGCTTGTGTAAATGGATGGTAGGACAGGGAGGGGAATGACAATAAAAAACAAAAAAAAACCATTGCTAATAGCTACAAAGAATAGGAAGTTGTGAAGAGTCATGACTGCCCACATCCTGAAGGGTATATAAAGGAATATTTTAATTAGATTTAATTTATAGTATAATTAATTTTAAGAATTAATAAATATTTTAATGAAATAGATGTTATTAAAATAATTTATTACATTGTTACTCGTTATGCATAAAATGTATAGATTTTTTTTTTAACACATTAGGGAATTAAGCATTTTTATTAACACAAAGCCCATTACTGATTGACTAAATACAACTTCAGGGAACCTTCATTATTACAGACTTCATACTAATTTTGAAAATCTGTGTGGTTAGCACTCTTTAACAATTAGAAATTGTTGCAATTGTATTTAGATATTCATTTTAGTAAGGTTTCATTATTTTGAAATATTTGTTTCTTCTAAGATTTTATTGATAATTTTTTCCTTTTTTTATAAAATTTTACAAGTAATTTTTTTTTTTTTTTCATTTTAGGATGGGCTTATGTAATTCTTATCTGATGAAGTTTCTGTCCCAGTATGATAGCCGGATACAGCCCTTTGTATTTGCAATCCGAATGTGGGCCAAGAACAAGAAAATTGCAAGTGTTGGAGGGACTCGCTTCTCTAGTTACTCTTTAACTTTGATGATACTTTTCTTTCTGCAAAACCTTGAACCTGCTGTGCTTCCTTCTATACAAGAAGTAATGGATGCTTGCAGTTAAGTCATCAAATTATAACCTCTCTGTTCCTATCAAAAAACATTATTTGTTTGAATAAATGATTAACTATGAATAATCTCCCTAACCATTCATGAATGTATTTGTTTATATTTTGATGAGAAACACATTTTAAGATCCAGATAGTAAAGCATTTTTAACCAAAATAAGCTTTATAATTACTTACTTTATTCAATTATAACTTTATTTTGTGATATTTATGCTAAATTTGTCCCCCATCATCTCTCATTCTCATTACTTTTCACTTGTTTTAATATGCTTATATATTCTTGTATTTTACTTCTGTTGACATTTTCTTTCCCACTTTATGTATTTTTAAGCTGTTTTTGCCATCTAATTTACATTTCTTTTACAAATACCACTGAAATAAGTTTCTTACTTTATAGAAATAATTATTACTGCTTCATGAACATAATGTATTAAAATAAATTATTTTGAAATTTATGTTTATAAAAAATAATAACTTTCAGTTCCTGGGATAAAGTTTTCTTATTTAGTGGCATGAGTTGGAATGAGCCTAATGTTCGTTCATTATTTTTTATTTATTTATTTTTTTTTAGTATCAGAATTATATTTTATTTTAGATATTGCAAATATACCATGTAGAAAAGTAATGGAAAGTATTATAGGAAAAGACGGTGAGGTTTTTAAAAAAATCTTTTTAAAAAGAGTATTTTATATCCAATTTATGTATCTAAGTGTAAAACCATTATATTGTGTATTTTGGCATGTTAAAGCATTTTGTTTAAGACACATATTTGATTTGTGTTTTGCAAAATTCACATCTCCTGAATGACAGGTCAAACATGGCCACTGTTTACAGTAGTAACTAAAGTTGTCCAGTAGTAATTTTGTAAAGCAAATACAGCCTGCTCATCCTTTGATTATATTTTACCATTGGCCTTTCTTTATATGCTTGTTTGGAAACTGTCATTGTTCAGTGAAAAAGAAACTTGACAGATTATGAAAGTGGTTGAATGATACTTTCATTTCCTGACTGATTCAGTAAAGTATTCAATTAGGTTGGATGTAAATGGTGTACTATTCATTGTCAGTTTGAGGAATTCCTGAAGAACAGAGTTGATAGAACTGAAGGACTTTCTGACTGATTTCTGTCAGCATTACTTTGTAGGTTGCTATTTAGTATTAATGTTTACACAAGGTACTGAAGAACTAGCTTCTGAAATGTTATTAAAAATGAACAGGGTTTTTCCAGTTTCAAAAATTTCTAATGAAGTATAGAACTGTAAATCTGAGTTATTCTAATTGAATTGGGAGTAGGTATTTATGAAACCCAGGTATAGGTCTCTCTGCATTTCTAGTGTTCATTCAGATACTATATTGAATATAGAATTTCTTATTCCATTGTTTTTTCATATAGAAAGACCTATACTCATCCTTCATGAATTTAATCAAGTACAACATGAATAAATTCTTGAAATGATAGTCAAACTTTATCTGCTTAGAAAGGATATATGAATCATTCATAATCTACATTGACAACAATTTTTTTTTTATGAACATGTTATATGAGTGAATACACCAAAATAGAGGAATGTGACAAAAATGTTTTCTCACTCAACTTGTATAGCAATAAGAACTAAAAGAAATGTATTATCTGCAGATGTGCCCAAAACATGATATACAGATGACACTGTGTTGATGGCATACACATAAGGAAAAAATGAAAGAACTATTAAGCAAGAAGGCATCAAGTGCTGAATCAACAAAGCCTGACATGCTTTCAACACCCTGCGGCCATTCTGGAGATCAACAGCCATCTCACTTTGCAACAAGATCTGAATCTTCTGCACCAATATGAAGTTGGTTCTACTTTACAGCTCAGAAATCTGGCAGGCAAGATCAACACCCACAAACTTCAGACATTTACCAACCGATGTCTCAGGAACATCCTCAATATCAGGTGACTGTGGGACAGGATCAGGCAAGACCCAATTGAGATTGACATCAAGGAATGGAAATGGGGATGGATTGTCCACACACTCCGTAAGCCTGCTTCTAGTGTCACTAGGCAAGCCCTTGACTGGAATCCATAAGGAAAGTGAAAAGTGGGTCGACTAAAACAGACTTGGCGCAGAAGTGTTGGCATGGAGGTGAAGGCAGCCGGCATGACATGGGCTGAGCTGAAAAGGATCATTCGAAATCGCATCTGTTGGCAAGTTGTTGTTGTGGCCCTATGTTCCCCAAGCAATCAAGAGGCATAACAATAAATAATTAAGCAAGAAGACAGGATTAAGCAAGGTTATGAGCAAAGGGGGCACTGCCACCACACAAGGTGGAAATTATGCATTAGAGATTTCAAAGTCACAGAAGGTACAGAAATTCAACTATCTAAGGTAGAAGACAGAATATGTAACAGAAATCCAAAGGTACTTAGCAATAGCAAAAGATGCTTTTTAAAAGTTAATGTTAAAGGATTGAAGAATAACATTATAAATGAGGAAATGAGTATTGAACTGTTTTGTAATATCTAATCTCTTGTATGGCAATGAATGCTTGAAAATCCTATCCCAAATAAAGAAAAAAGCATCTGAAACGTGGTTTTATTGTGGAATGCTGAAAATACAATGTGACAAGTGATTGTAGTGACAAAGAAAATGGCTGCTGAAGAAACAGCTGAAATTTGGGGGATACATAATGAGGAAGGAAGGCTTGGAGAATGTAGCATTCACAAAGTAAGATAAGCAGAGGAAAGCAGTAAGTAAACTACTTGATAGAATAATAGATGATGAAACAAGAGAGAAGGGTATAGTAAAAAAGTAATTTTGCCAAAATTGGTTGGAAGCACACGCAGGAAAAGAAAGGTAGTACAAGTCCAATAGGTTTACTAGGCAAAAAAAAATCCATACTTCTAGCCTTGATCTCCAATACACTACTCACCGTTCCGAACAAAAAACTGAACACCTGTTAAATGAGTGTAACATGTTTTTATACACCTGACCCAGCCAACACTTAGCCAATGAGCGCCCAGAACCAGACAATAAAAATGACTACAGGTGACACCACCACCTCCATCAGCACACAGTGCTGTCTGATTCTCCATCCGTCTGAAGCTTGTCGATTCGCTATCTCCACACTCCCTTGCAAAACATACATGTGACTCTGGCCTTTTTGGGTCGCCGAGGTAAGTCACCGCTACACTCCCCGCTGATCACAGCTGATGCATCCCAGAGCAGGTCTCTTTTGTTGGGTGTTCCTTTGAAGAAGAAGAACGAGAGTCTCATTCTCAGACAAACTACGGCCTGGAGTGTCATTGGGTGCTCCAGCATTGGTCTCTGAACTGCTGGTACTGGAGCAATCACCTGGTGAACTAGATTTTAAATACACAAATCATTCACTCTCCTCTGAGTTGCTATTAAAGTCTGATGATGGATATGATCCCAAAAAAGGCATAAATTCTTCATGTGCTGCAGCATTCCATCAATCTGCAATGACTGCGGACTGATTACTTGGGTTATGTGACCTGTTTTGAATTTGGTCGTGCATCTACTGTGTGGAGACTTTACCCACACAATGTCCCCTTCTTTGTATACTCCTCAAATGTTTTGTGGTGCAAATGAGTGTGTGGTATTGATGTTTTATACCCTGATGTGATACCTATGCAGCATGTCAGCCAGTGCTGTGGAAGCTGAAAGACTGTCCTTGGAAGTGACATTGTGCCAATAGACCGCCTCTGGCACCAAACATTGCTTTCTAGCTGCGATGGTCTTGATAATTGTATGACAGCGTTCCACAATCCCATTCCCAGCTGGTACATGATCACATTGGAATCTCAAGTGTACCCCCTATTACAGCTATTTAAAAATTTCTTAAAGCTCTTACAGGTAAATGCAGTGTCGTTATCTGTCAGTATTTCATCTGGCGAGCTCTGCTCATAGAAAATTGATTCCAGCTGATGAATAACACTAGTAGAGTCTTGTTGACACAGCGGTCGCCATATTGCGAATTGAGAAAGACCGCAATCAATGAGTGTTAGAAAATGACTGCCTCTGTAGTGGGTAATGTCCATCACCAATCTACTCCAAGTTAATCTTACACCTAGGAAAAAAATAAATAAAAAAAAAAGCTGTTGAATGCAAGAAAAGACATGATTGTCTATATTCTAAAGTGACATAACATAGAGAGAGTAGATACCTAGATTTCTTGTTTTCTGTTTTTTCTTACACTCAATTGTTGGATCATGGTATTTTTTTGTATATCGCATTTTTGTTCACTCCTCTCTGGCAACTTTATATCAGAGTGGAAGCTCCTGTGTTACTGGAGTTAGATTGTGAAAACACTATGAATGTACCTGATGATTGATATATAGATGGTAGTGTGTCAATTCATATGTATATTGTTCCAGATTTAAAGATAAAAAGAAGTTCTGGTTACATCCCTTTGTGTGTAAATATTCATAATATTCTTCACTGGCAACACAACACAACAAAAAAAAAAGAATATATAAAAATATAGTAGAAACCATCTACACCTGGATTCCTCTTCGAACATGTGGAATGAAGGTGAAATTTAACAGATCGACCCTCAGGAACGAGGCAAGACAAGGATTAGATTAACTAAAATTTTAATGATAAAGGAAATAAATGACCAAGACTTGGAGAGATAATCAAAATAAAGTCCAGTTACAGTATCTATCAATATTGAATGAACAAATATGGTGAATCAGTTTGAGGAGCCTTAATATTTTCATGTAATGGTGAATGCATGGAATACTTTATTAGTATATAAATGTGTACTGGAAAACTATGGGTAGGGGATGAACAAGCTTATCTGTTTATGAGTTCTTTTCTCTAGTTCTTTCAGTACTATATTTTCTGTCTTTGGATATATCTTCCTCCCCTTTTAATTTCTCTTTTATGTTCTTATTTCGGGAGCTCCCATTTCTTTCGTCTTGATTCTATTCAGGAATCCATCTGTGATTATTTTGTATGAAAGATTTTCTCTTCTCAGTTTTGTTGT